TAATCCAAAAGTGGAAGCAGGGGCCCATATGGTAAGTGACAGCCAGGGTAACTTCTGACCTTAGGTGAGGATGTGGACCAAGTAGGGAAGATGAAAGCCTGTTTGGGTTTCAATTTGACCAAATTATCTGGGCTGTGACAACCCCAAATGATTTACGAATGGCTTGTAAAGAAGGCATATCATCAGAATACTAAACAAAAATTAAGTGAAAAGAAAGGAAAGGAAAGCAAAAGAAGGAAAGAAGGAAGGAATTCTCTTTTGTCTGCTCCTCCCTGCATTTCTGCAAGCTTGTCACCCCATATGGGCATGAGCCTAACTGTCCAGTGTCCTCTTAATGCCCCCAGTACTGTACACCGATACAGCCAGACCCAGAACAAGCCTGTCTTCCTTCAAACTACACTTTGTCCTAAAAGTACCCCTTTTAGCAATGTGCTTTAAGTAAAGTTTCCAATTGTCAGAATTGGAAAACCCTCAGATCACCCTGCCATATACATACATATTTAAGCCAGAGTCACCAAGTACTTAATAGTCATTAAATGTTGCAAATTACTTGGTTAAAATACTGTATTCTAAATAGATGACTGATAGGCGTCATTGCCCCAGGGCACATTTGTGTCAGAAGACAGTCTCATTAATCTAAGTGAATCGAATTAAGGGAATGAGTTGGGACCCTTCTTTGCCAATTCAGGGCAACATTCGTCTCTCTCCACCATCAGGCTGGAAATAGAGGAATCAGCACCTTGGTATCCCAGTTATATTCCGTATGTCATTACAGGAAGCCATTGTAGATTCTCTAGGGGGAAAAGGTGTGATAAAACATGGTCTAGAAAGTTTCCGAGAGAAGTGATGTTTATTCTCGAGCCTCATGAGGACTCCAGGATGTGGTTTCCACGGTTGCTGTTCCTGGTGCTCACTGCCATTTAGGTGTGTCCTGGGGAGGAACACAGGCTCTGAGCTCAGTATTCCTGGGAAGTGCCACCTGGTCCTGCAACATGTGCCAAGTACCTACGATTTACCTAGATGTGCTAGGGATACAAAGACCAGTAAGATCAAAAAAGGGGTGATGAAGTCTACTTGAAGGAGACACAGGTCGAGAGGGTGACACTCTCTGCATGGGGGAACATAGACAAGGTCACCAACTCTACCTGAGAGCACCGCAGAAGGCAGCACTGAGTAAGGACTGGGCCCCATGGCACTTGTCACCTGGTGTAATTATAAAAGCCACTGCTCCTCCGTCTGTCTGGTTTTACCGCTCTGATGTGCCTCGAGGGCAGGGACTGCCTGTTACATGAATTAGGGTAGCTTCACGTACTACTTGGCAGAGAGATCACTGCTGTAATTACTTTTGAAAGAATAAATTGACATCTTTTTATCTTGAAGCATGAGTAGAAATGCCAAGGAAAGGAAAGGTAAGGTACTACATGTGAAGAGAGAACAACAGAGCAAAAACACGGAATTGGGGACTTCAGTGGGATTTTTAGGGAATGCAGCTAGTTCATTCCTGGAGTTTGGCATGACTTGGGGCGAGGGGTGGTAATAAAGGAATACTGGAAGCGTGGCCAAGAACCAAAGTGTGGAGGGCCTTGTAGGCTCTGCAAGGAATGTGGACTTCATTCTGTAGGCAGTAGAAGCCCATTCAAAGTTTTAAAGCAGGGAAATAATTCGTTTTAGAGAGATCATTGGCAGCAACGTAGCGATGAACGGGGGTAACGAGGGGTTAGAGGTAACAACTACTGGTCCTTTTGTGAGTGGGGAGTAGAGGGCCAGACATTTAAGAGAAAATGCAGAGTAGCACTCATAGTATTTAGAGAACAGAAAGAGTTCTGGTTTGGTTTGAACATTGTACAAGAAACCAAGATAGGAAATTCAAGAAGAGAAACACGAGGAGAGATGATTAATTCAGTTTTGAATATTTGGAGTTTGAGGAGCCTACACATTGCCAGGGAGAGTACTGGTCTGTACTACGAAGCCGAGAAGAGAAGTTGGGGCCAGAAGTATAGTTTGGGGTGTGGGAGTTGGAGTCACTTGATTGGGTGAGAGACCCAGTTCACATGGAGAGAGAAGAGAAACAACGAGGCCCTGGGGAAATTGAGATCCCCTTTCCCCTTTCGTAAGTTTAATGACTTTTTTCCTGTTACAGAAATATCGAAAAACCAACATAGGCCCAAGTAAGTGGAAATGACACTAAATTAGCTTTTCAGAAATTCTTTAACTTCTAGCACTGCGAGCGGTGAGCTGGTTCTTCCAGGCTCAGCAGTGCGTCTCTGGGAGTTGACTGCATGCAGTTTTAGGTCATGCAGGCACTTCTGTGGAGTCAGCTCATCCAGGAGTTTACCAGCAGCCCTTGAAGTGTCTGCACACGAAACCCCAGGTGCGGGAGCCAGCCCGATACAGAGGGAAAAGCCTGAGTCAGAGCAGCAGAACAATGAAGCTTTCAGAATCCCTCTCCTTTGTTAACTGTCTTGAAATGTCTGAAGGTTTTGTGATGATGAGCAGTCTAAGCAGTTTCTGGTGGTGACCCAAGGAGAGGAACCACAGGCAGAGTGAATGAGGCAGGGCTTACAGGCACAAGAGAACCCTGGAACACGGCAGTAGTAAGTCATGTCAGGGTGTCATTTTTGAGTGAACTCTTGGTGAAAAAGATGAGTAAATGAATTAAAAGTTGAAGAATGTACAGAGAACAACAGATTGGTGGTTGCCAGAGGTGAGGGCTGGGTGGTGGGGGAAGTGGGTGATGGTGGTCAGAGGTACAAACTTGAATGTGTCCTGGGGATGTGATGCACAGCATGACATACAGTGAGCAATACTGTATTGTATGTTTGAAAATTGCTAAGAAAGTAGATCTTAAAAGTTCTCATCATAAGAAAAGAATTTGTAACTATGTGCGATGATGGATGTTAACTAGACTTATTGTGGTGGTCATTTCATATTATATACAAATATTGAATCATTATGTTATACATCTGAAATTAATATAATGTTATATATCCAATTATATCTCAATAAAACTGGAGAAAGAAGGTGAAGAATGTAAGAACTTAAGGTAAAATAGTCATTCATGGAACAGAGTTAACAGTGGTTCCATGAATAATAGCATGTAATTAAAATAGATCATTACAGAAGCACATGAAAGACAATAGCAGAGGTATTTTGCTGGGGATATGGTCAGGGCAGGCTTCTTGAACTAACCTTGAACTAACCCGTTAGTGTTGGGCAGAGAGAGGAAGGAAGAGGTGGATTGTTACAGGCAGGGAGAATGATGTGAGCACAAAAGAACAAGCTTGTGTATAAATTGGAACGATAATTGGAATGACACAGTGGCTATTTTAGCAAATTGATCATTTTTTGAAACAAGAGAAAAACACAGATTTGTGGGTGACTCAGTCGGCAGTTTCATTTTTTTACCATCTCAGTTGGTGGCACCTCCACTCTTCTGGTTGCTTCAGGCCCAAAACCCAGGAGTCATGCTTGGTTCTTTTTTTCCCCCTCCCACACCTAACCTACCGTATTTCCCCATGTATAAGATGCACGCTTTTTCGAAAAATTTGGGGTCTAAAACCTGGGTTCATCTTATGCAGTGGTTGTAGATCGTTGTCAAGTCTTTTAAGAAGTGTGGCATTTCAAATGCCATAGATGGAACTGAGGACGAGGCAATATATGAAGACAGTGATTCGTCATCAGACACAGATGAGGACAAGCTAATGGTTGGGAGTTTTGACAGTGATGAGGAGTTGTATGAATTTTATGATGACTAAAACTTGAGTTCATAACTTTATGTAATACATTTTTTTTCAAATTTTGGGCCCCAAAATTAAGGTGCGTCTTATACATGGGAACGTCTTATACCTCGGGAAATACGGTAAGCCAGGAAATCTTTTGACTCTACTTTTAAAACATACCTGGAATCTGACTACTTCTTAGTCCCTACACTGCTACCGCCTGGTCTAAGCTGCTTTACCATCTAGACTAGATAACCGCATTATCCTGCAGAGTGGTTGGTTTCATCCTTGCATCATGCAGTCTACTCTCAGCAACTGCAGCTGGAAAGAGGGTTCCCCCTGAAATGCGCCTCAGATCAGGCCACTCTGCTTAAAACTCCACACGACTCCCCATCATTTTGCGAAGTAAAACTGTATTTCAGAGCACCGACATGGCCCGTGGAGGCACTGGACAATCTGCCTAACACCCACTCTGCTCCTTGCTCTCCGATCTTACCTTCCACACCCTCCCTGTCACACTACCCCAGCCACGCTGGCCTTTTGTGGGCACCCTCTTGCCACAGGGGTTTGGCTGGACTCTGCCGGGAATGCTCTTCTCTGCGCTGCTGCAAGGTTGACTCCTGCTCAAATATCACCTTTTCAATGAGGTGCCTTCATTTCTTCCTTCACTCTTTCCTGCCTTCACTTCCCTATTTAAAATCACTCTTGTTCGTCTGCTGCTTACACTACCACCACCAAACCCCTTCTTGAGGTTGGGCAGGAGAAACATCACCAGCCCCTCCACACATGGTTCTTGAATACTCTCATCTCACAGCCAACCAGAGCAGACCTCCTTCCTTCCTGAGAGTGCCAGCTTTCTGGCCTGGGACTCAAGTCAACAAATGCAGGTGCTTATATTATAGTTAGTGGCTTTTGCAGGAAAATGCTGCCCATGATATCTGTTATAATAGAACAAGTAGAAATAAACAAGGACATCACTCAAGAGGGATTTTTAATATACAGACATATGTCTTTTAATAGATAGACCCCTATTTAAGAAGAATCCACCTTTATTGTTATAGAATTTCAATCTGGTTTTAAAGCCATTGTTCATAATTTGGCTTTCAGGAAATGAAAACACCTATTAAACTCAGACTTAAATTCTTTCCTATTATAATAGTACATATCGCTTCTCCCAAATAGACATAATTACTTCTTTTTAAAATTATATAAAGGTTAGAGTTCCTTTATTTTGATAATATACACTCTTCCACTGAACTTGATTGTTTTTATTCCTTAAAGGTTTTAAATTAACAAGATCAAGCAAAACCACCTAGTAATGCACAGCACAATCTTTCACCTCAGAGAAGAAAGGGCCAACAAGGAAAAGAATCACAGGATTTGAGACCTAGGAGAGATCTCCAGGAGGCAACACCAACCCAGCGTCCCCATCTCGCTGTTAAAGATCTGGAGACCTAGAGAGTAAGTCATTTAGCTGATTGACCACAAGCTGGTCCTGGAAGCCAGGCCTCCCCCCAAAGGCTAGTGGAATAATGCCTTCATTATCCCAGGCCAACTTGAAAATAATTTGGGGTGATTATGCCGCTGGCCAGATTGTATTTATTGGTTAGCACTAGCTAATACATTGGGGAGAACCAGGCCACTACCACCATTATACTAGCATTCTCCCATATATAATGAGATTTAATTTGAAAATATGCAGAGCCCTCTTCTATAAAATTTGAGTACTTGCTCTGGCAATTCACCTTCTGGCATTTGCCCATTTGTCACAAAGTATTAACTCCCTGTTCCTATGTGTGCACATGTGCCTGTTTCTTAGAGTCTAATGAGGAAGAGTTGGATCAAAGAATTGTGGGATGGGCTAACGTTCAAGAGTGCAGAAACAATAGAGACCTTGTCAGGTGAAATTATTGGTATGAAATGGTATCACCATGGTAACCAAATTGGTGCTTTTAAGACATTTTGGGGCTGGGGACTTCTGAGGAGATTCAACCAACACCCTGCTTATCCCCACAACTTTCCCAGTGCCAGGTTGCTAGTGACACTCTCTTCTCCCCACTCTCACGCTGCAGACCTTAACAGTCACAAAAAGAAACAGAAGTTCGCTAATCTACACACTTATTTCGAATACAGAATGAGTAGATAGTAACTCAGGTTGTCTACATGGGATAGCATGGAACTTAAAATGTATGTTTATTCCTTACATTGCCATCTGTGCTAGGAGTTCATTTCTAGAGTAATTGCAGAGATTTTGCAACTGTTTATATAGCATTTGAAATCCTAGACTTCTACTCCCATGAGACCATCATAGTCAGACTGTTTATGTCTCCCATCCGTTGAATGAGAGTCACTTTATTATCTTAAATGTGAGTTTCCCTCCGTCTTACCCTATTTCCTTGTAACCAGCCTTCACCAAGAGATTGGATGTGACATTAACAATGGAGGGGACTGGGGCTCTTCAAGGTAAGTCTGTTGTTGCTCAGTTATAGAGATTTTTTAGGCTGTTCTATGTTTTCAGAACAAAACACATTCTAAGCATCAAAAATGTTTAGCAACTGTACCCATGCTTACACCAAATTAAAGGGGGAACCATGGCATATTTCTGTTTTACAACCACAGTCCCAGTCCTGAGATATTTGGAATGCAGCCTGTGCCCTGTTGGCAGGGCGTTGGAGTCAATTTACAGCGTGTGATATGATAACACATGTTCTGGATCAGTGGCAGGGGAATGTTTGGAGCTGTAATTCTGTCTGTCTCCCCATTAGCAGGAAGCCTTGCTAACTCACAGCTGGAGAAGTGCCTAAAAAGAACCAGGCTGTGTGTATTTGTGTATGTGTGTATGTGTGTGTGTGTTTGTGTGTGTGTGTGTGTGTGTGTGTGTGTGTGTTTATAAAGGCAACACAAAACCCAGCCCCAGGGATAAATGCTAAATGAAGGCCATCAAAAATGAAACGGGACTACATCACATGGACAAACTGGTATGTAGTCTCAGAAGCGCTGCTATCTACCTTCATCCAGCGGGGCTTGATGATATAGGTAATGTTTAACACCAGCAGAGAAAGAGAACACCCCAAGACCCAGTGGTTGGGAGAAGAAAATCAAATGGAAAGTATTCATTTTAATAAGGCACGAGGGGAGGTAGACAAGCTTCACACACTGGGAGTTGAAACTTGATATCCCTGAGGCCCGAGGTAGAAGCTGACTCTTGGCCCCAGTGAGCCAAGCATTAAGGAGACATGTAAGTGCGTGTAAGTGCAGGCATGTAGCTAGCACAGTTCAGCAGGCTCCGCGGAGCCAAGTGCTAAGCTTAGGCAAGCAAGATCAAATGTTCTTTGCAAAGATGTAAATTATTTGCTCACTGAGCTCAGCAGAAAGGTTTATAATTCTTTCATATTTCTCTTTTCTAAGTCTATAGTGTTCAAGACCTGTCTTTGGCTTATACTTTTATCCGACTTACGTAGATGCAACGCTTCTCTTGTGATGATCATGAATGAATGAATGGTCGTGTGAATTAAAATATTAAGAGTAAAAAAAAATCATTGGGCCAATCACAGTTGATTTGGTGTTTTTGAACTATTTTACTAATTCACCACATGATCTATTATCGCTGGCTTATAGCTCACTAAAAAGCTACTGAAAAGAACCAACATGATTAAATGGTTAAGACAAAATTATAGCTTCAAACAGAAGAAAGATGATTTTACTATCACTTGTTCAGAATTAGAACTATAAGAACTTATAAAACCATCCACGATTGAGGATTACAGTTAAGAAACACACTGGCTGTCTGTGCAGTGTTTTTTAGAATGAAGCCCTCGTCTCCAGGGCAAGTATTTATGAGGCATTTCTCAGCTGGCAAAGTGCTTCTACACACATTACTTCATCTAATGTGCTTGACCTCTTACCTTTTGGTTCTAAGATACCATCTGGGTTTCTTCAGAGGTGAGCTGAAGTATTTGGTCTTAATAATTGAGCAACGTTTTCCCAAGGTCCTGTCTTCATCACATCAACTTCCTCTGACAACTAGCAAGTCTGTCTTAGCCGTTTCCTGCCCAGAGCCCCGCTCCTTCTGAGCCACTGGCCTGTGTACCAGCTTCCTGCCTCAGAGATATCTTTAGATATCTGCTCACAAAGAGCAGAGAAAAGTGCAATCAGTGATGCCTTTTCCCATTTAGGTCACCAGCTCTGCCCCTCACCCACCTGCTCTTTGAGGGACCCACGCTACAGTCGTCTACTTAGTGTCCTGTTAAACCGTGTACAGATGTTCCCTTTGCAATTGAAAAATTTAAATCATTTGATAGAAAAAGTGTGTAAACTAATTGTTTATGACTGTATGGCTTCTCAAGTGTTTCAGGTCTGGGTTCAAGACACCTCATCCATGTTGATCCTGGCACTCACACACCTTTCAGGAGGCGCTGTATCTACCTTCCGCCTTCATGAACTCCATGTTCTGACCAAAGAAAATGCTCTCCTCCACCCTCTCCCAATTTTATTGCCTAGAAATCCCTTCTGCTCTCACTTCATGTATGAGTACTGTTTTCTTTTTACATATTTTAAAAACCCTTTATATATACATCATAGTACTGTATGGTTTTTCACTGCATCTGTCATAGTTATCTTTGCCATTTCCATGTAGTGGATTTATTTGGGGGTGTTTCCCGTTTGGAGCTATTACAAATAACATTGCTGTAAATACCTTGTGAAATAACTTTAATGAAAATTATTTTCTCAAAATAAATTAATGTATCAAAGGTTTTGGCCAGTTTTATGGCTCTTATTTTGTATTTAGGCTGCCTTTGAGAAAAAGGACTGACTCGTCCTGTCCTTGGCACTGTGAAAGTGGGCTTCTTATGATAAAACCAATGCTGGGTTTTATCATAATTGCTTTTTTGGGTGGTTTTTAATGTAGTCACTATAAAACAATACTGCAGTTATCTTGATTTGCACTTCTAATGAGGCTGATCTATCAATATAAAATTTCAGGACTGAGATAATCTTTAACAAACAGCAAGAATAATTTCCCCGGGGACTGGGATGGGTAATTTCTTCCTCTCTGCTGGGCTGACTCAGCATGTGCCTACCCATTGGTGGTGGTGGTGGTGGGGGGGGGACTCTTGGTTGCTGTTCAGCAAACTGGCCACCACTGCTCCCGTCTAGATACTTCTTTCCTCACACAGATGATTGCCAAAGTCTCTAATGAATTTACAGCCTTCACCTCTCCAAGTCATTTACCCACACCTTCTAGTTCAGTGTGTGTGCTCTCAGAGGAAACAGGGCCGTGGAGAGGCAGACAAGGACAGCCAGCCAGCTGGGACTGGCACCTCCCGAGTGGGAGACAGTGCTCTTTCTCCTGTATCTTGCACCTCTCCCTGCTGTCTGGGGACCCAGATGCTCAGGGAGGTGGAGGCTTCCTTTCCAGCGCCCTGGCTGCATGCAGTAGCAGCATGGCCTCTGTGGAGGGTCGCACACCCGCTGTCTGTGATTCTGCTCCTTTGCCTCCTGCCGGCCTGAGGCCTAGGCTCACAGCTGTGCTCCAGTTTGGGTTGCTCCTGCTGTTACCTCCGTGCTGTTGTTGGCAGCTGCCTCGCCTCAGGTTGTGTTCCATGCCTCCTGTGTGCCTGGTTTCTCTTCCGGAGTAATAGGACCTGCTGCCCTGCGCGGTTGCCATGGCCTGAGTACCAGGACGATTGTGAGTTGCATGGAACTAATTTACTGCGCTGGCCGAGGCCCTCCTTGATCTCTAGCCTGCGCTTTCTTCCTGAGGGAGGTGTATAGAAGGCCTAAGTTAGCACAAGACAGAGTCAGATCACACACACACACACACACACACACACACACACACACACGCTGAATGCAGTCTGTGCTGCAGCAGAATGTCGTGGTCCCCAGCCCCCAGGCGCACACTGGAGCCAGGCTGCCTGGGCTTGAATTCCGGCCCCACCACTTAGCGCTGTGACCTGGGGAAGTGCCTTAGCCTCCCTGTGTAAGTGTCTGCCCCTGTGATTGTTCTTCCTTGAAGTGGGAGGGGGAGTATAAGGGGAGAAACAGATCAGATCTCACCTGAGATGTTCCTTTTTCAGTAGGTGGTCCGCTTTATTTGGCAGTTGGAGGGAAAGGCAGGAAGCCCTAACTTGGCTCGGGAGCCTGAAATTCAAGCATATGTCTAAAGGGAAGAACTGAAATGGGGGCATCTTCACAAGACAAGAGCATTTGTTTCACACTGGCCCCGCGTAAACTTGACTCGGTAGCATTTTATGGGTCTTCCTGCGCTCTTCTCCCACAGTGCCCATATAGGCTCAGGTTTCCCTTCTTCAGGCTCTCCTTTTTTCTTAACGTAGGGAACAACAATAACAACAAGACAACATTATGTAGCATTTACTATGGGTCAGGCACTCCTCTAGGCTTATAGACACTTATTTTTCTGCCACAACTTCTCAGGTAGACTATTCTATCCATTTTACAGGTAAGAAACTAAGGCACAGAACAGTTAAGTAACTTGCCCAAGGCCCCACAAATTGGACATTAGATCCAACCAACTGTATACTTTGCCGAGTGGCCCTCGGCTGGCAGTCCAGGTCTGCACCTAAGGAAAGAACACGTCCCCCTTTATCACTTCTTCTCCTTAACATCTGGCTCCCTGCTGCTGACCTGGCAATTTTTTATTTGAACTTTAAGTGCCAAAGTTAACATGACTGTAATCTGAAAGCGTGCCGATTCAGGAAGCTGTGAAGTTACTTTACTCAGTGGATTTTGAAGTAGTAAGCAATGATGAATAAAAAAGTTCAAGCTTCTTGCTTTCACGTGCTGAGGTCTGAGCAGAAAGTCATTCAGTGTTACACATGGAAAGGACCTGGGAGGTCATATCATTTTATGGCTTCATTTTATAGGCAAGAAAAAAAGGCCCAGGGCGGGGAAATGCCTTGTTCAAGGTCGTGAAACATATTTTCCAACATTGCATTTAGACCGTTTAGATGGGTAAGTCACATAAGTGTTGTTGAAATACTATTATTAGGATCCTATCTGGTTATGGAACTTGATATATGGCATTAGTTTGGGGAGCTCCTCTAACAATGTGGGGCTCATATGACTTAACTCATATGTCAAGGTTAACTTACCTCGACAGACCCATTTCCACTACTGGGCATGCCATTGTTTCTGGAACCATGACACAGTCAATGACTAGAAGTTGGTTATGCACTACTGACATCCTCTGAAAAATAATTTGTTAGTTTTCTTGGTGCCATGATGGTCTTTATTCAGTGTTCCCAATGTCAGTATGCTTTGCATCCATTTCTAATGATCACTGTTAAACAGTGGTCAGCATTACCCTTCCACTCACTTGAAGGTCAGAAGGCAGCATTGCTCTGGTGGTCAAGAGCCGGGATTCCAGAGACAGACTGGCCTGGGTTTGAATTCCAGCTCTGCGCCTTACTGGTTTATAACCTTATCTATCTGTTCCTTAATTTCTCCAAATGTAAAAGAGGGATAAGAATCGTACCTACACCCCATAGAGTTGCTGAAAGGATTAAATGACTTAACATATGCAAAGCACGTAAGCTAGGGCTTGGCACGTCATAGAACTAGATGTGGTTATCTGTCATTTCTAGAAGAGGAAGCTGAGTTACAATGGAATCACTTCAGACTGTTGTATGGAACTGAAAAAGTACTTACTATTTCTGCTTCCCAGACGACGAAGGCTAGGCCTTGTTTTATAACTTAAGTGGGACCTTAAAAAAACATTTTTTCCAAGATCATCTACCAAGAAATTGACTCAATTTACAGAATTGCAATTCTTGCCAACTTTCTGAAGTCTACTTCTGTATCTTTTCCAACAGCAAGGAAGAAAGAAAGCCAGCGAGGAAGAGAAAAACGAATTCTGCTCCTGAGTCTGCATTTTGAATTCCCAAATAGAAAATTTTAATAAAAATACAAACAAACAAATGAGGTAATGCAGTCACTATCTTAGAGGTGTACACAAATAACTTGCCCAAATAGACTATAAGCCAGTACGTACAGAAATCAGTAGAGGGACAAGGCCTGTATGTCCAAAAGTGTGGAGACGTAAAAATAAAAATGACAGACTTTACTGGGTTTCATATTGATCTTAATTTATCACCTGGGGTCGGGTGTATAGGTGAGGTATGTTTTATAGCTCTATGTAGCAATAGCAACTTATTCTTAATGACTATAGCTTGGGCTTTTATAGATTTTTTTTGTAACTTTCCTATGAGCATCCTAAAATATTAATAAGAAGTAGAATTAAAACATGAAAAAATGGAAGTTTCCAAGTGAGTTCTTGCTTCTTTAGAGACAGTTTGGTGAATGGAATTTACAGTCCAGTTTTAACTCTGGATTAACAATTTATCTGTCCAATCTGTTTCTTTTCCTTTTTTAAAGATTTTATTGGGGAATTGGGGGAGGGCAACAGCGTTGGGGAATCAGGGAAGGGGAACAGACAAGTTGCTGTCCATTTGTTCTTCAGTCCAGCTGTGGAGAATGTCGCTTCACTGGCCCATGTTGGTATTATCATTGTGCTCTTCCCAGGAGAGGCAGTTGCTCCCCGGCCATTGGTTGGCCACTCACGGCAGCTCACAAAAGCTCACGCCCGCTGTGGGCCAGCCCCACTGCAGCCTACACCATTGTCTGGGACTCAGGGCAGCCCAGCACCAGGTTGAGCTGTTGTTTACCATATTAGCTGTAGAGGGCGCAGCGTCACTGGCCCTCATGTGGGATCCGAACCGGGGCCCTGCTGCTCAGAGCTGGTGTCTTAAGCCAACTCCTAACCAACGCGACACTCGGCGGGCTCCAATCTCATTTTCTAAAGTGAAATAAGGACGATATGACTAATCCTGTTGTGCGTTTACATAAGACATGTAAAGTGAGTGTCCAGTGACTGTCAGTTCTCCTTTCTCCTCAGACATAAGAAATAATATTGATTAGAAATAGCTGCCCCCTCTGGGAGGATGCAGCGTCACAGGCATGTGGTTGGCCATTGTCCGTGGAATCAGTAAGAAGGCTCTTCTTGCTCCAGGCATCCTCGGGCCAAGGCCTTCCTTGGTGAATCAGCCCCTACTCTTGGGAGCTCCGTGCATGTAATCATACATGGCAGCCCTATGTGAATGAGGAGAAGGAGCGAGATGTGTGACCATCGGGTAGAGAAAACAGCAAGTACAAAGACCCCGAGATGGGATTGAAGCTTGGCGGGCTTGGGAATGTGAAGGCCCTTGGGTTGAAGAACAGTTATCAAGGGGAAGACTGGTAGAAGGTGAGGTCAGAAAGGTGAGCAGGGGCCAGATCTCACAGCTCCGTGCAGGACAAGACACGGAACTGGATTTTATTCTAATTGTATAGGAAACCACTGGAGGGTTTTATACATAATCTGAATTCTGTTTTTAAAAGATCATTTTGGCCATGATACAACCAACGCGTAAGGGGTGAGAGCGGAAGCGCAGAGACCAGGCGAAGGCGATTGTAGGAGGCTGTGTGAGGGATGAGGCACTCCCATCAGGGCTGTGATGGAGAAAGGAGCGGTGGGTGCAGAAATCTTCTGGAGGTGAGCACCCCAGAACTTCTTGATTTAAATGGTGTAAGAGAAGAGGAATTAAAGATGACTCCTTGGCTTTTGGCTTGAACACCTGGGTAGGTGGTACTGCCATGGACTGGAAGTTAGGGAGACTGGGG